CAGGTCTCACCCTGCACTGTAGACCTCAGCCTGCCCTCTCCGGTGTCCCTGACAGGAACTCCAGGTGTGCCGCATCTGTAGGGTGGCCCTGGCACAGCCCTCCCCAGCCAGCCCCATTGGCAAGGAGCTGGAGAAAGAGGGTGTGCAGTGGGCTTGTCCTGAGGGTGGCTCCCTGAAGGGATAGGGGCAGGAGCACTGGGCAGACACAGGACAGCTCTACTCATGAGATCAACCAGACCTGCAAGTCAGTGGGGAGGTGGGTCGAGGACGTGAATAGACGGCTCACACATGAAATACGTCTATGGCGAGGTACCCAAATAAAAGTCAATAGTAAAAAGAAACACCCAAGCTATGTAAGCACGTGGGCACAGGCCCTGCCTTCGATGGCAGGTGAACACTGTGAGGCCCATACAGAGCCACTTGACAGTATCCCTGATCACATTGAAAACAATGTGATCCCTAACACCTAGCAAGGCCACTGTCCTAGGGCTTCCTACACACGTGCTATACACAGACATGAAGAGACACACAGATGCAGAAACCTAAAGCTGTAAATAAATGCTCACTGCTAAATAAGAATAGAACTGTGGTCCAGGCACGCCCTGAAATAACCCACAATACATTAAATGCACAAGGTAGGTCTACATGTACAGCATAGAAATGTCCCTTAAGATAAAGCACATTGTTTAAAAAGCTAGTTTTGTAACAATGTTGACAATATCATTCCTGTAAATTTTGCTAAAACATGAAACAAAGCTATAGGTGAACACGGGAAACCTCTAGTTGATTGCAACGCTAGATAAAAGCCATGACCTCTAGGGTGGAACAAATTTGAAAGTCAAAAGCTTTTTGCCTGATTTACATTGTATGAATCTTTTGCAAGTAAATGATTTTGTGGAACCATTTTTTAGAGGGCAATGAACTTAACAAGCATATGCCTTAAGAAAAAATTCTGGGCTTGAAGATGTAACTGTAGCTAATTGCTCCTTGGCTTTGGACCTCGGTATTCTCACTGTGAAATGGGCAGCAGGAGACCTTCTCTAGAACTTTTGCAAGAAGCCCATGAATTGGTGCACACCAAAGGCCATCAGAGTAAAGCACGTCACTGTTGCCATTGGATTCCTCTGGGAATGTCGCTGGGTTTGGTAAGAGCATTAGCAGCAACTGTGCAGCCACAGGAATTAACCTCTGAGAGCAGACGCAGAGGCTGAGAGAAGAGGTTCATCCACAGCCCCAAGGGGCGGTGGCACTGAGGTTCTAGATCTCCAGCCGCAGGAAGAGAGAGTAGTCAAGTACTCTGAGCAAACCTCCAGGACTACACAAAATTCCCCGGCTCCTAGCGAGGCTCCTCCCTGGGAACTCATTTGGGGGAAGATCGCTATTAAGACTTGGACTGAAAAGGAGATTTAATTTTAGAAGCGAATTTTGGTTTTTACAGATGCCCAGAAGACCCTGGGCTGGAAATCTGCTTTACACAAATTGGCTCAACAGCTGTGGGTAAGGTGGGCTGTTTTTGTCCCGACCTCTAGGGCCCCTTGCCTGCGGTGCGGTCCTCCCGCCGACAGGGGGCGCTTGCCGCAGGTGCCGTGCCAGGTGTCTGCAGGTGCGATGCGGTCTACACCTGCAGCAGTCTACATCCACCCAGAAGAGTGCTTCCCCTTTTCAAAACACGGATTGGGTTAGAGGAAATGATTCATGGGGTGGGGAGGAGAAGGAAGTCTGGCTTTAAAAACTACTCTGAGCCAGGAGTGGTGGCCCACCCTTGTAATTCCATGGCTTGGGAGCTGAGACAGGAGGATCAAAAGTTCGAGGCCAGCCTCAGTAGTTTAGCAAGGCCCTAAGCAACTTAGTGAAACCCTGTCTCAAAATAAAATTTTTTAAAAAGGGTTGGTGATGTGGCTCAGTGGTAAAGCACCCCTGGGTTAAATCCCTAGTACTGAGAGCAGGGGGTGGGGGCGGGGGGGAACCTATCCTTAATTACTCCCCTAAAATTGCACAATCTAGCACAGCAGCCACTGATTGCTTTGACTATTCAAACATAAACGGAAATTAAATAAAATAAAAGATTCCGTCTGAGTCAGACTCAAGTGCTCAGCAGTCAGGAGTCGCTAGTGATGACTGTTTGGGGCGGCAAAAATTATCCATCATCACTGCTCCGAGGTCCTTAGAAGCCACACCTGTTTGCTTGGAAACATAAAGGGCTTAAAGGGCTTTGTCGATTGCTGTAACACAAAAACTCAAAGTGCACACTGCTTGGTAATTAGCAAATTCATCCATCCATTATACACATTTCCCAGGCACCTGTCCTGCTCCAGGACCTGGGCCAGGTTCTGGGGCAAGAACAGCCCCACCCTCCAGGAGTTCACAATCAGAGGGGAGGCAATGCCCGGGGTTGGTGTTCTGAGGGGGGGGGGGCGGTGGAGCTGGAGCTCAAGGTCAGGGAACAGAGCATTGTTAGAGTCTGTAAATAAGTCAAAATAACACCTGGCATTTTGCCAGGGGAATGTTAGAGTTCGTAAACAAGTCTGGATGGTGCCTGGCAAAATGCCAGAGGGAGTGGTTTGAGAAGTAACAAAAGCGAGCCATTAAGTGTGGAGATTCCTGACTGGTTGACTGCTGTATCTAGTTTATGCTAATTAGATAAGCTGTGTGGAATGTATAAATACTGCTCCTGTCCTGCAATAAACAGCTCCTACTCCTGCTGTATCAACGTACACAAGTTGTTCGTCACCCCCCGGTTATTTTGCTGCAGCCGGACTGCGGCAGAGCATCATTCTCCAGGCAGCCCTTCAGCAGAGGACCTGCTGGAGCACAGGCAGGGAGTGTGTGTGGAGAGAAGAGGGCAGATAGAGGGCTGAACCACCTCCTGTGATGCCACACGTGGGGGCAGGTGGAGAAACAACGTCAGAGGCTCGTCCCAAGGAACAGTCACGGTCAGGGAGTGGAGTGGGTAGAGAGAAGTCCACTCATCAGAGGCCCCAACAGCAAACGCTAGAGTGGGCGAGAGCCATTCAGTAGAGGGGCAGGGGCAGTGGAGGGGCAGGGGCAGTGGAGGGCAGGAGTGGGGCCAGGCTACAGTGGGCTCCACAGAAATGCAGAGGGAGGAAAAGCAGATGAGACTACAACCCTCGCCATGGAGACCAAGGGTCTTGGAGGTCCAAGAGTCCTGATCTGAAGATGGGAGTGGTGAGGAATGGCAGGACCCTGGAGGGAGGGGAACCACATGGAGCAGATCCCAGGGTCACAGGAAGACCAGGGCTCCACGGCACAGGAGCAGTCTAGCTCTGGAGGAGAGAGGGAAGGAGGATCACAGACACACAGAATTCACCAAGACAACAGCTTCAGGAAGACCGGGAGGAAAAAATGACCCCGGACATGGGAGACAACCAGTGGGTGGGCAGACAAATGGCCCAGAAGGGAAGAGGGCTGGAGAGGTTTCCATCCAGGAGGAAGAGGGGGTCATTCGAAGGTGCCAGTGGAGCGTAGCCTCCTGGTCTGCGGAATGGGGATTGAAAGAACTGCCAGTCTTCCTATAGAACCTTCCATAGAAGAGAGTGTCCTTGAAGAAGAGCCGAATGTCAGGGACTAATATTCTGCAAAGAGTGGCCTTTTGCAGAGTTTTCAGCCACTAGACGAAGTTCAGAGGGAGGCAGTGGGTCATTCTGGAGCTGGAGGAGCAGGGATGGAGGAAAACACGGAATTTGCGAAGCTTACTTGACTCCACGAAGCTGGGTGGAGTTCTGGGGTCAGTGGTAGTAGCCCAAGGTTGCATAGAAGTCTTGGGGACATCCCTAACTGAAGGAGTTTGTTCCGGGGTCTCAGAAAACATTGGTGAGAAATTTGAAGTCTCAGAAGATAATAGGCCATTCTTGGAATAGGACAATTTTCAAGACCTACACTTTTTTATGGAAATAACAAGAGTCTCCCAGGAAATCAGGACACACTGGTCACATCTCTGAAGAGGTGCACAGGTGTTTCTTCTGGTGAGAAGAGCAAGAACCCCAGGGCACGGACAGAAAAAGAAATTCAGCAAGGGAAGTAATTACTCAGCCCTCTGACGGAGCCTCTTGGGACAATGAAGGAGTCTAAGCCTAGAAAGACCACCCAGGCACACGGAGCCAAACCCCCAGGTACACCTCTGCTGGACCCAGGGCCATCGCGTGCGTGTCTCCTCCCTTCTCTCCCAGGTGCACCCTGGGAAGGCTTCTTCAGTCCTACTAGGTCAATGGCGAGAAAAATCCAGGTATTGTCCCAGCAGCTCCCACATCACAAGGAGGCACCAGGCCAGGTGCTAAGGTGGGGAGATATTCCCTCTGTATGTCTAGAATTATTTCTAAAATTACACTTGGAACCCAGACCCAGAATTGAGATCTTAGGTGGCTTGGGCAAGGTCCTGCCTCTTTCTGCATGTGTCCCCTTCTGAATGGGCTTCAAGTCTCTGAGTGGGTCCTAAAGGGCCTAACAGCCATTCCTCATAATCCCACCGACCTGAGGAAGTCAGACAGCACTCACCCGAGTCGCCAAACGCTGACGATTCCAGCCCCGGGGGAGACCACCAGCCCCAGAGACACTTGCACAAATAGGTGAGCAGCCAGGAGACTCCAGGCGCCTGCCACCCTCAGCCTGGCACCATAGCCCCATGGCACCCCCCACACACGCCAGGTGCACACACACCAGACACATCCCTCCCCTGCACCCCTCTCCATGTGGTTCACCACTGCTTTCAGGATGACACTGGGCTTTAATCGATCACTTACATTTGTATCCCTCCTACACTGGGGGCTCCATTACCAGACGCTAGGGCCCAGCAACAGCGCGTACCTACAGGCGTCGGGCTGGGAGACAGCGTCAAACTCATTGAACAAGCTGAACTGAGCCCGAATGACAAGGTGAACACAGGGCAGGACGTCCCCATGAGGCTGAGCTTGCTCACCAAGGGTCTCTGCAGAGACCCGCTGCCTCCAGAGCCCCTCCCCGCGGGCTGCCCCCGCCCCAGGTCCTCAGGGCTTCTTGTGGAACAGAGCCGGGGCTGGCTCCGCGCTGGGCTCGGCCATGACCTGCATGGGCCGGTTGTTCAGGGCTGCTTCTCGCATCTTGTGGTACATGAACTCGTTCTGGCGGAACATGCGCAGCTCCATCTCCGTCTGCACCCGCATGGCCTGGGGGACACATCCACAGTGAATGGTGGGGACAGCCCAGGACACTTGAGGGAGCTCTGCTCTCCACCTCAGCAGTGGGCAGTTAGTGCGGAAGGCGGCGTGGCCCCGAGGGAGTAGTCAGAGGGACGTTTCCACCAGAGAATGTTTGCCCTCAGGACCTGTCAAGCGGGGACCCAGACTTGGGTCCCTCACTTATGCTGTGGGACCTCAGGCAAGTGACACAACCACTTCAGCCCTCAGTCTTGTCCAGAACACAAATGAGATCCCCTTGTGCCTCACAGTAGGTTTGGAAGATCATGGAGTATGGCACACGAGAAAGCCCTGTCTCTCCACGTGTCAGGACATCTGTGGTTTCACTGGAAACCACAGTGAATCAGACTGATGGAGACTCTGCCTGGACAAGCTTAGTGGCTGGACAGACAGCTAGTCACCTCCGCTCCCCGCTGTCGCTTGGTCCCTGAATCCATGTTCAGAGCTAGCATATCCTCTCTCTTATAGATGAGGATCTGGGGGTCTGAAAAGTCAGGGACACCTCACCTGAGGTCACACTAGTCCTAGTGTCAAGACCACTCTGCAACACTTGAGGTCACAGTGTGAAGACATGAAGTATACCTGCTTCCCCTGGACGAAGTCACCTGAGGACAGTCCTGTCACTCAAATAAACCAGCGCTTCAAAGCAGGCAGGGAAGCAGCAGATAGTAAAACTGCGCCCCTCGTCCCTTGGGCCTTTAAGCACTGACTTGCTGAACCCACACCACGACACCATCCTGGTCCCTACCACACAGAGGTGGAGCCGGCCAGGTGTCACTGCCATCACTGTGTGGAGGAGCACAGCTGGAGAGAGCAGAGGCTGGGACTCCGCCCCGGAGTCGGACTCCAGAGGCGAGTTCCAAGCTCCATGTGTAAATGGCTATGCACACACCACGGTCCGGCTTCTCAGTCCAGCCGTGGCCATCTCAGGCCCAGCACTTAGGCTCAGCCTTGCCGTCACCCCTCAGTCACTACAGACAGAGCCCCTTCCCAGGGCCCCGGGGTTCCTGGATATGAAACAATGGGATGACAAAGCATTTCTGCACCCTCCCTTTCTGGTCCCTCCAGATATCAGGACTCCCCTAGGGCCAGGTCCACCTGAACTAGGCCTTTCCCCCTCAGGGAGCTCAGAGGTCGAGGCCCAGCCCTCAGGCACTACTTGCCTCCAGGTCCTTAGTGATGGGGTGGGAGGGCCCGTGAGTCACCAGGAGGATGGCGTAGGCTTTGCAGATCATCCCATGCCCCACCTCGATGTGACCAGCGTGCCAGTTGGTCAGGCCTGCCCGCATCACGGCCATGCCCAGTTGGGCATTGTTGGGGTGGTAGAGCTTCCTGCAGGGGGACAGAAGATAACAAGACATGACCCCAAGCCCTCCCACTCCCACCCGTCTCCTAGTGGCTCAGAAAGAACCTTCAGTGCTAGGCCCGTCTGCCCCTCCTGCTAGTCTGTGAGGCCTCCCTGGCCAGCTGGGTGGGACTGAGGGGCACAGGGAGCTGTAGGAGCTGGGACTCCGGCCTGAGCCCCCGAGCTGCATCCCCATGAGAAGGCCCAGGATGGTACTCTGAGCTAGAATAGGGGGAGCTGGGGCCCTAGGGGGCACTCAGGCTCTCCTATGAAAGTGACAGGAATAACTAGCGCGTCCTTCTCAGGACAGCTGGTGGTTGTGCTCCTCTGGGAGGCTCCCTCCTGCCCGCTGGGCAGTGGGCAGCATGTCTAACAGGCGGCCTCCTCTGGAAGACTTCCTCATTTGTCCAGAAATGCAAACCCACCGGCTCATGGGGACGCGGAAGTGAAGGGTGGTCACTACTACTCGGAGCCCATGTAGAAAGGCTGGAGGGAAGGAGATGTGGGTGGCCCACAGAGGCCGTGGGTGAGGAGGCGCAGCACCTGCGCCCTGTGTGCCATTTGGAGGAGGTCTCAGGAGACCATCCTGGGTCGGCAATGGTCACCTACATGTAGCCGTCCACCATCCGCCTGGCGTAGTGGGAGGCCTCATCGAAGGCCTGGAGGTAGGAGAGGACCTCAGACACGACACTCAGCATCCGCAGCGTGTAGAGGTTGGTATCAGCAAACACTGGCTCCTGCTTCTGCAGAGCCTCTCGGCACAGCCTCACCACCTGGAGCGAAACACGGGCCACCGTCACCACTACCCCGGAGCCGGAGCCTCAGTCACACGGGAGCATCCCGAGGACCCCGGACCTCTTTTAAGGCTGGGGAAGCTGCTGACAGAAGTGAGGCAGCCGAGTTTGTGACTGGGCTAAGATGCGGGGATGAGAGTGTAACCACGGGACACACCAATGACAGAGGTAGTGGGCAGCTTTTAAATCTGTGGGCAGCTGAGAGCTGTGAAAGCTGTGTACGTATGTGTGTGTATACGTGTATACATGTGCATACAAAGACATACATGTGCAAATATGTGCACATGTACAAATACAGACAGGTGACAGGTCCATGACAGATTTGTCCCACGGCAATGCAGTGACTTGGGTACTACCAGTATTCCCAATTTACTAGAGGAAAAAACTGAAGCACAGAGAAGGTAAGTACTTTGTCAAAGTCACACAGGTAGTGAGATCAAAGATTCGAACCAAGCAGTTGAGCTCCATCTTTGCGACCCTTCTTGTGATTCTCCACATGGGTTGTACTTTGGAATATCTGGAAAGCTTTTTTAAAATGCTGATGCCCCCCCCAAAAAAAGACTCTACCCCAGACTAATTGATACCAAATATCTGGGAGAAAGATGTGGGATGTGCAGTTTGTGGGAGGCGCTGGGGGTCCTTCTGCCCAGTGAGGCTGAGCAAGTTGATAGATACGTACAAGATGATGGGCAGAGAAGGCGGTTCCCGGAAGGCCGGAGACCTTGGTGGGGGCAGGCTTTCCCACAGCTCATGCGTAGACACAAGCTGAGACTGCACCTCACAAACCCAGAGGGTCTCTCGATTGGGTTGTCATTATTCTCCTCCTCCCTGGATGCTCTCATGGGGAAGGGCCACCAGTTCTCTCCATTTCAAAACTAGCCGAGCTCTGAGGCTTCCCCAGAGCCTGGGAGCAAATGGTTGTGGGGTGGCAACGGGGAGCTGCGACCAGCCCGTCCTGCAGGAAACCCTCTCCAATCCAAGGGGCAGTGGGCAGCCCGAAGTTGGCTCTGCCAAGTTTGAATGAAGACAAAGAAGAAATGAAGAGGAGACAAGAATCCAGAGAAAGAGAACCCGCCTGCTGCCCACTCCCGGCTCACGCCCTGACGCGGCTTCCCAAGCTGTGCGCAACACTGGGCATTGACTCTCCCCACCGACAGGATTCCAGGGAGGCAAGGACAGTGTCGTGTTGGTCACCCCAGGGAGGGCTCTGCACGTGCAATGACTGAGTTAGCAGAGGCCGAGGAGGAGAGGAGGGAGAAGGAAGAGAACCCACCCCCATGGTACCGCGTCCTAGTGCCACGCAAACCTGCCCACATGCCCCAGTGGCTTAATGAGTTCGGGAGAACATCCTGAATCTGGTCTCTGTTCTGCTGCAGACTGGGTGACTGGCATCTCAGGGGGTGAGACTCAGCTGCCCAGGATAATTCAAAGCCACTTCACTGCAGCCCAGTGTTGGGCCGTGGGCCTCAGCTTCAGCTGCACGTTGAAATTGCTGGAGAACTTTGAAAATCTTACTGTCTGGGTCTCACTTCCAGAGATTCTGCTGAAATTGTCCTGGGCCAGGGTCTGGGCATCAGGACTTTTTGAAGGTGATTCTAGTGTACAGCCCCCTCTCTAGTGAGAGCCCCTGGTGCTTCCAGAAACCACAACTGAATTTTGGTTGGCGGAGACTAGAAACTGTGGCCATTCAAGCACTCAATTACTCAGAGCAAGAGGCCATTCCCATGAGTCCAACTGTCATCGCCATCCCACCTCCAATGGCCCTGAGCTGTCCTACAGCCCCAGACACATCTGTCAAGCTGCCCCTGCTCTGCTCAGACCCAGTTCCCGTGAACTGAAGGGTCGCTGAGAACACACCTCTAGCAGGTACTAAAGGATTAGGAGCAAGAAAAGCCCTAGTCTCAATCAAGGGACATCCGCAGAAGAGCAGCCCTTCCCCGCTCCTCCCCAGCCCAGCCCTAGAGCAGTAGCCTCTCACCTCATGGTACAGACCCTCGGAGCGAGCCTTGTGTATTTTTTCCAATGTGTCCTTGGAGAATTGTATCATCTCCTTCACAGCTTCCTGAGAGGGCTGGAAAAGAGGGACGTGAAGTTGGAGGCCCCCTCCAGGGAAAGCCCACTCTGTTGACAGCTGCCAGCGGAGGTAGGTGAGGCCACCGAGATCAGTGCCTTCCTGGTTCTGAACTCTGGGTCCTGCGGCTCTGTCAGGATTCCTGCAGCTTCTCTGCCTTGCTTTCTGCCAGCTAGTGATCCCTAGTCCAGGCTCCCCGTGGGCTGTGGCCAGGAGCAGAGCCTGGCGCTGGTCCCTGTAGGGTGTTTTCTGCATTTTGGATTCTGATCTATCACCCAAAACATCGGCCACTCATCCACTAGCCCACCTTCACTGGCACGCTCTGCACGCTCTGGAGGCAGCCTGAGGCGAGGACTGAGCCTGCAGCATTGGACTCCAGTTCACAGGGGGTCGTTAAGGGGGATCCTGCGCTTCTGCCCATTCAAACCTCCCAGCGTCTTAGCATCTGGACAAGGTTGGCATCCTGACCAGAGGACGTCAGAAGGGATTTTTGCCAGCTACATCTGAAACCGAGACCCACTTGGTTTACCGCATTAATCCCGCCAAAACCTATCCAAAGACGTTTTTGGTATTTGAGGCATGAAAGTACCATAATCAAGAAGCCATATCACATGAGGACACCATAATTTTGAAGGAAAAAAAACCACTGAATTTGTCAAAGTTCAAAGGAGGAAGAGAAGGTACTAAATGAAGGGGGAGGGGGAGGGAAAGGGGGAGGAGCCAAGTAGAGGGGAGGAGCCAGAGAGAAGGAAAGGAACGCCCCCCCAGGGAAGAGGGGCGGGGCCAGGGGAGAGGGGCGGGATTAGAGGAGAGGAGCCTGAGATAAGCAAAGGAGCCAGGGGAGGGGCCAGGGGAGAGGGGAGGATCGTGATTTCAAAGCCAGCCTTAGCAACTTTGCAAGGCACTTAGCAACTCAACTCTAAATAAATATAGAAAAGGGAGATGTGGCTCAGTGGTAAAGCACCCCTGGGATCAACAGGGCTAGTTCGGGGCACTTTGTTATAAGCAGCTCCAGCAAACTAGCCTGCACAGCATTGCTTGGCCCCTGATTCTTGCCCTTTAACAAACACAGCTCATTCCACATCTGCACATAAACATCTGGCTCATTCATCTTAGTGGGTTCAGGGTATTTTCTCCTTTGACTCTCTGTCTGTGGTTATTTGGGTTTTATTCAATATTCAGTGTTCCCAACAGGGCCGCCACCTACATCTTTCTTCCTTCCTGGGTCTCTGAGACCTTGGGCCAGCTCCCCTTCAGGGACCTTCCCTACACCTCTTACGAAGGCATGGCAGGCCTTGAAGACACTCTTCCCACTGGACTCAGGACCCAGCCCTTCCCGCTTGACCATAGAGCCAGACAATGTCACTGTCGTTTTTGGTGCGTGGCTTTGCCCTGCTATTCTGACACCTGGCCACTCGGCTCCCTCCTGGTGCAGCTGAGCTCCAGAGGCCCCTCCGCAAGCCTGCCCCCTCTCCATGTTGTCATCCGTGAGACCAGGAATTTCTCTGGGAAAACCCAGTAACAAATCTCTTTGCCCCTCAGACCTCCATGTCTGAGAGGCTCAGGGGTATTTCACCCACATGGGGGTGGGAGATTCGCGGAGTGCCTCTGCTCCCTTTCCTATGGCACCTTGGTTCATCCTCAAGACGACCCTTGCAGCGGGCCTTCATTCCTGTTTCGCAGATGGGAAGACGGAGTGACTCCCCCAAACTCAGACCCCTAGTCGGGACAGCTGGGCCCTACCACCCCTTGCCACCTCCCCGGGGCCATGGGGACCTCGACTGGCTGTGAGAACTGCCCTGGCCTGGCTCCAGGGGCAGTGGCCTGGGCCCAGCGGTGGGCTGCGTGTACCTTGGGGTCTTCCTTCACTCCCAGGAAGAGGTCATCCTTCAGCCCTTTCTGGCAGTGCTCACAGGTGCAGTTGAAGTAGTACTGCTGCTTCAGCTGCTGCCTGCGCTCCTCGCTGACACTGAGGAAGTCGATGTAAGACACCGTCAGCTCCTCTCCCTCCGAGATCTTGCCCAGGGCCCGGAGCTCGATCCTAGAGCAGGACGAAGGGGCAGGAGTCAGGAGAACCAGGCCACCCACAGAGGATCGTGCTCTCCTAGGCTCAAGGGTCAAGTCCCAGAGACTGCACCTCCACTAGCACCCCGAGAAAGCACCCATTCCCCCCAGGAGGGGGAATGTGACCCCTAGTTGTAGGTCGCTCAGTATTATAATGGTCAAATCTGCTCCATTCAGCCGATTGCCCTGGAATAGGTTCCCATAGGCTCCCAGTAGAGGGCTGGGCTGGGCCATAAAACCATACACAGCCACCATTTCTGCAGCCACCTGTGTGCACTTAGTTACTGGTTATCTGTGACAAGGGAAGGGAGAAACAAGGAGGCAAACCCCAAGAAAAAAAGACCTAGAAGCGATTTCTGGTTAGTTTGGAGACACTCTCAAAGACAAATACATTCCATTACCCACAACCCTGGCACACTCTGTGTCTGACTTTAAGCCTCAGGACCTTCAGCTTTGGTCCAATGTTCAGGCCCCCCCTGTGGGGGACTCATGCCCACCACTATCACTGGAGGTAGACAAACAAAGGCTGGGTCTGCAGCCTGCTCATCACTGCCTTCAGCGTTTCCTGGGAGACGCGGCATACTAGCAACGGTAGGTAGATTTCCTTCCCCCCAGACCTTACCCTCCAGTACCCACCCGCTGAGCAACAATATGAAAGGTGCTCAAGGTGAAAGCCCTCTGCAGAACTGACACCCAGTGGATCCGACAGGCAGGCTGCGGGCCCCCCCCCCCCCCCCCCCCCCCCCCCCAGCACCACAAGGTCAGATGGTTACAGAGAAGTGTGAGACTGGCAAGCTAGATCCCAAGCCCAGTCCAGGGCCTTACGGCCCAGGGGAAAACCACCATCCAGAGAGCAAGGGGCAGGATGCAGAGGGCTGGGGACAGGCACTGCAGAGGTGGGCATGGCTTTACCACCCAGAAAGGCTGTTAGGTGCTGTGTGAAAGGCAGGGCAGGACTCTAGCACCTGGAGGGGTTCCAGGCAAAGCATCCCCTTCCATGTCTTCCAAGGTGAGTGGCAGAGACATGCCCGCCTGGCACCTGAGGTCACCACTTAAGGTGGAAACCTCTCCCCAAATTGGAATACACCAACGCGCCCCAAAATGCACTCATTGAGGCAGCCTGGGAAAGCCCCGGACGCCACCTCCTATTCCTGCTTTCCTTTCTTCCCAGCCCAGTTCTCAGCAGAGGCAATGAAAGGCAGGTGGGACAGAAGGTGGGTGGTTGTGCTCACAGCTCTGCTGAGAATCCTAACACGCTGAGCTGCAGGGCCCCATGTCTCTGAAACGAGGACACAAACCAAGAAAGCAAGTGGCCTCCTCCCAGGTCCCAGAGCACAGGGGTGGCAGAGATTAGAGTCGGGTGCCCTTGGTGCCCCTGGTGCTGCTCCCATGAGGTTTCCAGGAAGCCTCACGGCCAGCACAGTTGCCTGGGACACGAGATGGACCACTGCCCTGGGTTTTAGGACTCCACTACCAGGCAAATTGTCCCAGGTGAGCCACTCCAGGGCCAGGGTGTAGGGTAGATCACTGGTGTCCTGTCCCGGGAGATGAGGACCCACTCTGCTCCCACGGTTCCTTTCCCAGAGGCAGCTCGCCATGGTGACAGATTGAAATCCAACAGTGATCTGTGGCTCAGATGGTTTAATGGTGTTTAAGAGTTTTCAAAACCAAATTAATTTTGTATCACTTAAATACCAAAAAACACACATACATCTTCTCCCAGTCTGATGTTACAGGTGAGCCCTGACTTCCAGGGCTCACGTCCCAGTAAACCCATGGGTAACTGAAAATATCACAGGACAAAAACGCAGATGGGCTTGCCCCTGCTGGGGAGCGTGAAAGTAATAAAGTGTCCCAACCCTCAAAAGACATGTGCAGTCCCCTGACCTGCCCCACACCATAGCCTGGCCCGGCTGCCTTCAATATGCCCAGAACATGGGCACCGCCTGCAGTGGGCGAGGTCATCTCCCACTGATGTCACTGTGCACCTGATGTCTCAACTACTGCGCTACTGGTGGGTGACAGGATGACCACATGGGCATACTTCTGCACTACCAGGATGTCAAAAAAATCTTTGTGCCAAGCCACTGTAAGCGAGGGACATCTGTACGTGGAATTGGTGGCTGGGGGCAAACGGGAATTGAAGTAAGCACTGCCGAAGAAGCAGGAGGTGAGGGGTGTGGCACTGCCCTTCCTGTGGCCGCTGTCCTGGACCTGTCCCTGCCCTGGCGGGACCCAGGTCCCTTGTACTTCAGCACTCTGCCATCTATCACCCAGCTAGCTGAGCGACAAGCAGCCACTTATTTAAAGCATTTTTTTGCAGAGCTTAGGAACAGAGCCAGAGCCAGAGGTCCCCAGAGACACCGTCCTCCTCACCTTTGCTCCCCTGATGTGGAACCCAAAGCCAGGAGATGGTGTGGCGCATCCAGAGTCTCATGTGAGGCACAGCAACAAATCAGGTGCCCCAAGCTCTCCTAGCCCTCATCCCCAAAGACCACTTCAAGGGTCCCAAGCACAGCCCGACCCAAAGACCCCTCTGGAGCTATTTGATCGTCATTAAGGAAAAGCAAAAGCAAAATTTAACCTAAACTGCGAATTCACAGAGTTGGCCAGAAACTATAAACAGAATACTAAAATGAATGACTATTGATCAGAATTTTCACAGTTGTGGATGCTATTTTCAGAAACCAGTCTGGGCGAGAAGTTGGGGTTATAAACAAACTGGGTCCTTTAGCAGGTCAGTGGATCCACAGCCCCCGTCTTGTGGTGAACAGGGTGTAGGGGGCAGACGTAGGTTTGGGCTAAGATGTGGACTAGAAGGACTCATGCTTGGTGGCCAGGAGAGAGAGAGAGAGCAGACAGAGAGGAAGAGGTGGGTGAGCAGCAGATGCCCAGTTCAAAAGCATTAACAATACGCCATGCAAGGAGGATGGGCACTGGCTTGCAGAGGACACTCGGACGGACAGCAGACATGGAGTCTCGGGCGTGGTGGGCCCAGCACACCAGGCAAAGGAGGCAGATGGGTCAGAGGAGCAGGGGTCATGGAAGGGCTGACCCACCTCATCTGGGTGTGAAACATGGACTTCACTGCCTCATGGCTGAAAGACAAAACAGACACCAGGTGGAGTCAATACCACTGGCAGACCTGCCCAGTGGGCAAGGTGCCCCACAACTGTCACAGACACCAGGTGAAGTCAATACCACTGGCCGGCCTGCCTAGTCGGCAAGGTGCCACTCACTGTCACAGCAGCCTGCATCCTAGCCCTTCCAGCCGGTCCCAGGACAGGACGCGGCTGGCCTGGTGGACAGTACCCTGGTTTTGGAATGAGGAGGTCTACGGGTAGAAGGCTCTTGGCCCTGCATAGCTTGCTTCCTTCCCTGGGCCTCTGGGTCTCACCTGCCACCTGGCAGGTGGTGTCCTGAGAATGCATTTGAAGTCCAGTGCTAAGATGTGGTCCACTCACACAGCTAGTAGGTAAAACTGGTCAGAGCTGGAATCAGGACCCAATGCCAGGCCCAGGGGTCTCTCCAGATGGCAGGTGGCCAGGCAGTGAACGCAAAGGCGTCTTCTCACACAGAAGCCAAGCAGCCCAAACATGGCTGCTCAGAATTAGTAGACACAGGGAAGCCAGAGCAGAAGCCGAGAGGACAGAGGAAGGTTCCCAGGCTCCTTGGCCATTGTGCAGAGTGACTGGCAGAGTCCCGGGTCGCCATAGCTTAGGGAAGGGCCTAGAGAGTCAGCCCTGCACATGGCTGAGTGTGATCTCCTTGCCAGCCAGGCCAGACTGGAAAACTGGCCCTCTCAGGAGATTGCAGGAGGTCCAGGCAGTGACCCCAAGAGGCTTGGGAGGACAAATACAGATGCTGGGAAAATAGTATCATCAAGATCCAAAATAAACTTTCCCATCTTAAGGTCTTTCTCAATTCCATTAGAAACTGACATCGGAAACGGGCAGGAAGAGGGAAATCGGGTCCTTGCCACATTGATGGCGAGGCCTAGCTCTCAGCGGGACCCAGAGTCTACTGTTTCTGGCTTCTGGGGAATCACTGGGAAAATGCGCTTAATGCTAGAGGCTTTAGGGTATGTTCCTGCAGCCTCCCTCAACCTGAATTCTGCATGACCTGAGAGAGATGATTCCAGCTTCACATTTTAAAATAGACGCTAGAGGCTCATCTAACATGCCAGGCAGCCTCAAGAAACACACCAGGCCTTGGAAGTGACCCGCGGCACTCTGCTCTCTCCTCACTACCCTTCCCAGCCGCAGCTCGTCTGTGGGAGGTTCCAACTGGGCGCACAGGGGACTTTCACCGCAGTTCAAGGTGGAAGGCCCACTCTGGTTAAGTGAAGTCATCAGACATGGGAGGCCGCCTGTCCCCGCATGCCCTTTCAGCTGGACTCACCTGCCATTGTTGAATATGACAGTGCAGTTGGGCCAGCAGTCGTGGTTAACCAGCCCCAGGTTGGGGAAGATGCCCACGCCCACAGCCTGCAGGCCTCTTTGATCGCTGAGAGTAAACCCGTTGCAGTTGATCTACCAAAGAAAGAGACCAAAGGGCCGTCAGGGACACAGGCAAGGCAAAGGCCACCCAGCTTCGAGGGAGCCTGAAGCCAGGGAGCCTAGGGGATGCCCCTGCTCTGCATCACTCCAGATGACCCACAGGGGAGAGCAACCTGGAGCCCCATCTTGGCAAAAGTGCATCAGCACCTTGAAGCTGGCCCAGGTTCTATTCTAAAAGGGCTCAAGATGGAAATGCCGGGTCCCTGGCTGGGCTCGCGTGAGTCCCCCTGGGCACGCCGAGGTTCCCCTCTATACCCTCGTGTAGGAGCACACAGCCCATGCCCTTGCCTGTCTCTCTCCTCCTTTCTTTGCCTGCCCTCTCACAGTTCCCGTAGCTGCCGCGACATAAAATTGACAACGCTCTTGGACTATTTTTTAATCTGGCATATAGTTATTTCTTGTTTTTTCCAGTACTGGGATTGAACCGGGGGTGTTCAACCACTGAGCTGCAGCCCCAGCACTTATTAACTGTGAAACAGGGTTTCTCCAACTTGCCATCCTCCTGTCTCAGCCTCTGAGTCCCGGTTTGTATTTCCTGTTCACAAATTTGAAAAATCAGAAGAGGGCCATATTTAATGTGTCTCTGAAACGCAAGGCAAATCAAGTTGCTACTACAGATGTAGCAGTCAAATGATTTTCTTTTCCTTAAAAATAAGTCGTTCTTTCTAGAAACAGGTTCTAAACACTTGCTCTCAGAGCACGAGACGCGTACAAGAGCGCACACCTGGAGTGTGTCAGTGACTGTGTCTGGGTAACGGAAACAGCACGCCTGTGTGTCCTGGCCTGGCGGTTGGTACTGGAGAAGGCCACCTTCCCACAACTCTCCTCAGACATGGGCACACCCGTGAGCACCAGGCACACTTCTTTCCTCTCTGAGCTCTGGTGTCCCATCTGTAGGTTGAGTCAAATGGACTAGAGGAACTCTAAGGATCCTCTCAGCTCCAGGCTCTGGTAGTTATAGGACCGTGGCTCTCATCCCCAGACCCCTAGGGACGCCCAGGGTGTGTCTGTCACAGCAGCTCGCCGCAGGGCTAACAGAAGTAAGGACAGATGCCCTGGCACCAGACAGGCTGCTTCCAGACCTTCCTCAAGCAGCAACTGTGTGGCCTTCAGAGATCACACAACCTCTCTGAGCCTGGGTTCTCTGTTCTATAAACGAGGGCCCTCACCTTGTGTGGTGACGATTCATGACACAATCTGGGGGGAGAGGCCATGATGGCTACCTTTATGGGTCAGCATGGCTGGACCATGGTGCCCAGGTATTTAATTTGGTCAAACCTTAGTATGTGTGTTTCTGTAGAGTTGTTTTTTAGATGAGATTAATTTTTAAACGAGTGAACTTGGAGCAAAGCAGAGTGGCCACCGCTTTGCAGGTGGGTCCTGATCAGCAGCAGACCTTGACATAGGAGAGACTGCTCTCCCCTGAGCAAGAGGGACTGGTGGGGCAGACTGCCTTTGGCTCAAGCCCAGCTCTTCCCTGGGTATCCAGCAACCCCTGGACAGAGTTGCCTGAGCCAGTCCCTTAAAATAAGTCCCCACCCCTCTCTCCATGGTCAGGCCTGGAGAGGCAGCAAGTGTGACCTTCTTGTTGCTATTCCGCGGACCCCCTCCTCATCCTCATCACCAGCACCATGGGAGAGGCCGCGGCCCACTGGCCAAGGAGCTCCTGATCCACAGGCCCCACCCCTACCTCCTGGACCTGGTGGCTCCCCTGGCTGGGCTGCCCCCTCCACAAGCCCAATTTCCCTGGCTGCACAAGGACCCACTGCTCCAGTGCCCCCTCAGTCCTGCCCTGCAGACCTGGGGAGAGGAAGGGCTTTAGTTCCAAGGTGACTGGTGGGCAGGGAGGGATGGGGATCAGGTCTTTGTTTTCATTTCAGACTGAAGAAAGTTTACCAAGTGCTGATAAGCAGGAAGATAAGTTGTCATTCAGAAATGATGCAGAAATAGTGTGTGGACGGGATGGCAGGTTCAGTCAGGGCCGGACAGATCCCAGATCAAGCAAAGCCATGGAGGGTCAGGGCCAGGTCTCATCTAAAAGCTCTGTGCTCCTCTATCCACTGGTCCCCTCCTGACTCTGCACCAGCACTTCCTGGAAGCTTCTTGGCTGGACAACCCCCTCTGTCCCCGTCTCCCCTCTTTACTAGGAATAACACTCCAGGGTCTCTAGTTTCAAATAGGACTATTTAGAGGCCTGTCCCTGGGCTCCTAAGGGGAAGCAGCAGATGCTCCTGCTGCATGGTTGCCCACCCACCCAAAGGCTGGAAGGGAAGGAGGGAGGAGAAGACAGAGGTGGGGCGGGCCGCGGGAGGAGGGTGGGGCGGGGCCGGAGGGGAGTGGAGGGGCCGGAGGGGAGTAGAGGGGCCGGAGGGGAGTGGAGGGCGGATCCGGCGCCGTACCACTCCGAAGATGTGGGAGATGTACTGCATGCTGAAAGTTTGGCTCTGGGGCGGCCAGTACTGCAGGAACGTGTCCACGTCCACCCGCAGCTCCTTCTGCTCCTCCTCCCCAAAGTGTTCCACGTGGTTCTGCAGGTCGTCCACCGACACCAAGCAGCCCTCGGTGAGCCCGCTGCCCTCTCTCTCCACCCGCCACATGATGCGTGCGGCCAACCTGCGGGAGGGCAGCGTTAGGCAGGCCACGCTCCCAGTCACGGTCACGGTCACGCTGCGTTCATTCAGCCGCGGCTGATGCGCGCCAGGCCCCATGTGCAGGGGCAAGGGTGCCCAGAGCGCTCAGGCCGGGGCAGCCGGGTGACTGGGAGACCACTGTAAGTGGACAGTACTCTTCTGTCCCACCCGTTGTCAGATCCCAGCTCCTGCCATTGTTTCTAGAGAAGCCAAAACCGTGGTTTTCCTGAATGTGGAAACCCCCATGTCTCAACCCTGGCAGGTCAGCTGTTACATACAGGGCCCTGGACCGCCTGCAGAGCCTGCCTGCCGTGCTCTGTGAACTCCCCCGGCCTCCCTCTTTGCCGGGTGGGGGGAACGGCAGGAGTGAGCAGCCCAGGGCCCTGGAAGTCCCTCCTGGTCTGCAGGGCCTGACCTGATATTCTCACTGGGTGCCTTCCCGTGTCTCTTGAGGGCCGAGCACTCCTTCTTGTGGTCCAGCCAGGCGTCCTTCTGGCAGGTGCGGTCGCAGTAGTGGGCGAACTTGCACTGACCGCAGCGGTGCAGCTTCTCCTGCCTCTTGAAGCAGGTGTGGCACACTACAGTCACCAGGCTGGCAGGGCAGAGAGAGCAGGTCAGGGGTCTCAGTACTCCGGCTGACAGCACTCAACCCACAAGAGAGGTTCAAAGAAAAGACACTTATTTGGGCTCAGAGTTCAGGTCGGGTTCGGGTTCACCTCTGGGGTGGCCTTTTTGGTTTGTTGTGGTTGGTTTGGTTTGGGGCACTAGGGGTTGAACCCAGGGAGCTCTACCACAGAGCCACAGCCCAAAGAGACAGGTTGGCCTCAAAATTGGGATCCTCATGCATCAACCTTCTAACTTGCTAGAATTACAGGCTACACCCACCTGGCTATGGTGGCCTCCAGGGGGAGGCAGCCCAGGGAGCCACAGGGAGGGTTCCCTGTGGGTGTGTGTGCGCTCCCTGGTCCCTTGAAGCCACAGCTTCATCTTGGGCACTGGAGCCTCGCAACCTGAAGACCTAGTCCTATTCTGCCCACGGGTCCCACTGCAGGCCATAGTCCTGGATCTCCACCTCCAACGCCTTGCCGTAGGGCAGGGCCACACCTGGCACAGGAAGCCCTGATATGCACTGAAACCATACCTACCCCAGTGGGGAGACCTGGGCTCAGGAACCAGCTCTGTGGGCTGGTCCTCATCACTCCAAACTCCAGACTCCCGCCTTTCAGACGAGGGGCCTGAGCTTCCCGAGGTCCCCTCTAGTTCTGGCCATCCTGCAGCAGGCATTTCTCGTGGCCCTGTGGGAGACACCTCTGCCCTCTGCATGCCGGTGCCTTTGTTTGCACTGTGATTACATGACAGTGGGCTGTCAATACACAGTGACACATGCTCACGACGGAACAGGACCATCTGGCCCATTTCACGTAGCCATTCTTAAATTCATAACATGGGTGACCAGGTCTGCACACTCTGCCCCCGCACAGTCCTGGGTTTTGCTACAGGAAGAATAGGTCACCGATGTCACCTGAGAAACTCTCCCAGCTCAGAGAGAGGCTGGGAGGGAGGGTGGGAAATGCATGCCCATTAGAGGGCCAGTCTTCTTATCCCAGCTTCCGGCCTCCCGTGTTCCCTGCAGAGAGCCACGTGCCCCGTGTCGCCCCACCATTAATAAAGAAGGACACAGGCCACACAGAAAATAGTTTTAGACGTAGCCTGACACCAGGCAAGTGGCCTCTGGAATGAAGCCCAGCGTCTCAGGTCCCAGCTGCACATTTGTGCCTTTAACCTGAGGTCCCCCACACCTCTCCAGGCCTCTGGAACTACAGGCCATGCCTCTCCAGGTCTGTCTCTCCACATTTTGGGGAAATCTGTAAATCTTGAAGTTGACCATAAAGTACTCACTTATACAACTACCTTGAGCACTGTAAATTAAGCCCCCAATAAATAGATTAAGCAAAGAGAGACGTGATAGCTTGAAAAACCTTTAATTTAGGGCATTGCCGGTGTTATCTGCTGATCCCGTAATGGGGACATCAGCCTAAGGATCCCGAGGATGGCCACTGGAGGCCACCCTGAGATCGCAGGCTCATGTCATCCCTATCTACTTTCCCACACCCACCTGTCACCAAGCTTCCTTTAGCAGAGAGGTGGGGAGCCCCCAAACACACCCCTCACTCTAGAGATGGCCCAGGATCCCTTGAATGTGTGTTCCTGGCCTTCCTAAATAGATCCCTGAGCCGCTATTGACATGTGCTGGACTTTTCTCCCCTCATGTACGTCTAGGACCCCGCTGTTCCTGGGTGGAGACCTCCTCTCTCTGGGACTCCCTGGCGCCCTCTTCTCCCATCATGGTGGGCAGCAGATGTGGACACCCAGGCTAGAGTCGGCAGTCTACACAGGGATCTCAAAAGGATAAGAAAACAGGCATTTAGGGGCAGCTTGAGGCGGAAGGAACTCCACAGGCCCCCCCCCAAGTGCCACGATCCCTGGGTCCCTTCCTGACCACGAATCTTAATTCCCAGGGAGGAAAGCTTGGCACCTCTTCCAAGGACAACACTGGTGGCCAGTCTGTTTGTTGGTCAGCTTCAATCTGCCTCCACAGAAGCCATCGCCTGCACGCTCATGGGGGGCACTGGACCCTTGCCCCAGGGGATCAGTCTTCCAGAATGGGAACCCCCTGCCTGCTTCCCCCTCGTTCCCTGCTCCAAGTGAGAGGCTCACAGCTCCTTCAGCAGGAACAGTGTGGCCCCTGGAGTCCTCCCTCCTGGGTGGCCTCTGATGTTCCCTGCAGTCAGAGGAAAGTGGGCATAACCATGTCATCAAGCCAGGTCCAGGGGCCAGTGCAAGGGGTCAGACTCGGGGGCCAGCCCATGGCCAGGCCCCATGTTCCCACAGTGGCATCAAGAGGGGGAGACACATGCAGAGCCAGCAGAGGGCACTGCATGGGCTGCTGCTCCAAGCCAGGCCCAGGCTTCCCACAGAGTCCAGGCGGCCCCCAGCCACCCACCAGCAGACCCAGCACCCTGCTCTGTCCCCACCGAGATGCATTGCTGGCAACTTGTTAGTGACCCTGAAGTGCTCCAGGGTGTGGAAAGTCAGTGCTTATTTGTAAGTTAGGGAGATTCAAGGTTATCCCCACAGTAACATCCTCCTTGTTCTGCCACCTACGTCCCCACAAGCTTCCCTGTGACACAGAAGGAGGAGTTCCTCCGCATACTTAGAATTGCACAGATTCTACAGCCCCCATCAGGAGCCACAGGGGTGCACCAGAGAGAAGGCCGCTGTTGTGAAAGCCCAACAGAGCGGGCACATGAGCTACCACGGGGCCTGGCCAGCGTGTGCAGTCCCCGAGCCCCAGAGAAGGGGAGCTACAGGTCCCGCACCTCTCTCTCTCTCTCTCTCTCTCTCTCTCTCTCTCTCTCTCTCTCTCCCCTCTCTCTCTCTCTCTCTCTCTCTCCCCCCTCTCTCTCTCTCTCTCTCTCTCATAAGTCAGAATTGCATTCTTTGGCAGGAGTTTGAAGTTCCTTAGCAGAGACTGGCTTGCTGAAGAACACGAGAGAATAGACCCCAAAAGGCTCCATATGTCATCTCCTGGCCACTCAGAGGTGAAGACACTTTACAATCCCCGTGTCCAGGATAGAGAATAGTATCACAATGAGGTCCCACTTACACTTCCTGGATCTTGACTTTGCACTTCCATTAGTTTCTTTTACAAAAATACGTTAGTGTAAAAATCAAATTATAAATAGTCTTCAGACCCTCCTAAGCTCTCCCAAAGGCCCGAGCCCAATCAGAGTCTCTGCCTATCCATAGGGCACTAAATATTTTTTATAGGGACAAAATAGATACACAATCAACCACACATATTTAAAATATATTCTTCTGGGCTGCGGGTGTAGCTCATTGGTAGAACACATGTCTACATGTACAAGGCCTTGGATTCAATCCTCAGCACCCTCCCCCAAATGTATGTGCCAGCCAGCTTTCTGTTACTATAACAAAATACTTGAGATAATCAGCCTAAATTATTTTTGATACTGAGGATTGAACCCTGGAGTGTTTAACCACTGAGCCCTTTTTATGTTTTATTTTGAAACAGGGTTTCACTAAGTTGCCAAGGCTGATCTCAAACTTGCAATTCTCCCAAGTCACTGGGATTCCAGATGTGCACACCAGGCTAGCTAAGACAGTCCACTTAGGAAGAGGAAAGGTTTATTTCAGCTCACGGCTTGGGACATTTCAGTCCTCGGTCCGCTGGCCCATTGCTTTTGGCCTGTGGCAACGTGGCACATCCTGGTGGGAGCCCATGGCAGAGGAAGCTGCTCACCTCATGGCAACCAGGAAGCAAGGAGAGGAAGAGGAGGAGGTGGCGCCTCTTCAAGGAAGCACCCCAGTGGCCTAACCTCCTTCCAGCAGCCCCGCCTCCTGAAGTTTCCACCATCATCCAAAAGCACCACAGGTTAAAGACCAAGCCTCTAGTCCGAGTCATCCGTGGGCTGTGTGTGTGAGCCATGTGCATTTGAGCGCATGAGGGGAGTGGCCCGACGTTGCTGCCTGATTGTGTGCCTTTCCTCTCGCTCTGCCTATGATCCCACACAGCACCTGAGATGGGTGTGGCCTCCCAAGAGGCCAGTCAATCCTCTGACCCCAAGACACAACAAGCAAGACTCCACCCTTCAAAATCCAATCCCTTGCCTTATTGGGGTGGAACTTTCTTTCTTTCTTTTTTTTTTTTTAAAGAGAGAGAGAGAGAGAATTTTTCAATATTTATTTTTTAGTATTTTTTGGCGGACACAACATCTTTGTTTGTATGTGGTGCTGAGGATCGAACCCGGGCCGCACGCATGCCAGGCGAGCACGCTACCGCTTGAGCCACATCCCCAGCCCTGGGGTGGAACTTTCTCAAACGTCTTTCCCCTAAATAAAAACAGGGGTTTGGGGTATGCTCACTCTCTTGCTCCTTCCAGCGCTGGAGCTCCCCCTTGGGGTCACCAAACTGTCCTGCCTTAGAAACTTATGTTCATTTGCTGCATGTTTCTTCACCGTTTTCATAGTTATTTATACAACCAGCTCCCTTGAACCCAGTTCATGTCACCAGTCCAGCCAGCTGGTGATAGCCTTTGACACATGGGCTTTGGAGGGACATTCAAAATTCAAGCTATAAGCCAGGCATGGTGGTACACACCTGTAATCCCAGCAACTTGGGAGGCTAAGGCAGGAGGATCAAGAGTTTGAGGCCGACATCAGCAACTTTGTGCCACCCTCATCAACTTGGTGAGACCCTGTCTCAACAGAAAAAATCAAGAAGGACTGGGGATGTAGTTCAGTGATAAAGTGTCCCTGGGTTCAATCTCTAGTACAAAAAAAAAAATTCAAACTATAGGAACCTACTCCAGCCCCTGAAAGCTCATGTCCTTTTCCCCAAGCAAAGTGCATTCAGGCCACCCTGAAAGTGTGTACGCTTGGACAGATTCCAACAGGTACATCTGTCCACAGACCATCACCAAGAGGGCGCACACATCTGTCCACAAGACCGTCACCAAGATGGTGCACATCTGTGTACCAGACCATCACCAAGATGGTGCACATCTGTGT